TCACGAATCTCCACCTGTAGGCGATCACCCCAACCGCCGCCTGCACCACACCACAACCAAAAAACCCCAAATCCTAGTCAAGGCCCAGACATCTGGTGGTCATGCGATTTGCTGGTGGTTGGAATTTTATACATCGCGCTGCTGCTGCGAATCGCGTCGCAGCAGCGCGATTCGCAGTAGCTGCGACGCTGCTGCGATTCGCAGCAGATGGAGGAGGGGAGGCGAGGAAGAGAAAGAGATGGGAGAGGAGAGGAGAGGGGGTGGAGAGGGAAGCGTCGGTGTCGACGGCGGCGGCGATGGGTAGGGAGGAGAGAACATGATGGAGAGGAGAGAAGAAATGGGTAGGTTTGATTAGGTTTTTTTAATTGTGATGATAAATTTATAATTAATATTTAATAAAATATAAAAAACCCGATTTTTGAAAATTTAAATGTGTGATAGGATTTGTGAAAATAGAAATCTAAAAGCAGGTGTAATTGTAATTTCCTCTATTATTAAAAGCTAAACAAAACCTTTAAGCCTCAACCAATTTTTGGACATGGGCTTTATTAGATCTTACAAATTTTTAACACATCGCAACGTTGTTTGATCTGGCTCACGCCTTTCCCTAAGCAATAAAGAGGCTAACCCTAGGCTGTTCTAATTCTTCTCTCTTTCAAAAAGTTAAATCAAAAGAATAAAAATTAAAATGTGTGATTGATACCAAATTTAGTAATTTTCCATCGTGCGACTTTTCACAAGTAGTGGACTTCTCATTTATTCCTTTAATAGATAAGGCCAAGGAACATGTAGGGTTGCAAAAGAGCCTAAAAATCTACTTCAACTTGCTTTATGCCAAGTGTATGGCCATACCTTGTATAAAGTGTGTGAGAAACGTGGAAACCGTTGCTTAGGTACTTCAACATCATAGATGTGCCAACAATGGATTTGATGGAATTGGATACTTCCATGGTGATTCATTAAGGGTATGTCTGGTAGAGTTAAAAATTGGGATGAAAATTGCTTTTTTGATCGTTGAGTGCTTCAACGGTACAATTATCACTTTCTTGGCCTGCAGACTTGTGAGACAGAGTCAAAAAGAAGGGCTCCAAAATTGATTTTCTCATGCTGAAAATGAATGCCAAACAGGCACTAAAGATGGATACTATGATTTGATTTTTATTTAAAGATGGATACTAGGATCTTTTCTTATTTGATATAAACTCGCCATCTTGCGAGACATTTTAAGAAATAAATCAACGTTGAATCAAATGTGAAAATATAAACATATACTCTCAAAAGTACAGGTTTTCTAAAGACGGCTTTCTCTGTATTTTTTACACGGCGTGAATAATCAACAATCAAGTAAGTTGTTAATTCTTCGTAATCGAAGGACTTTCACCTTGATGCAAAATTAACATCCTTTGTCGTACAAATGTGAATAAATAAATTAACTATTGCTCTTTCATTGCCTCTCAACCAAAAAATATGGTAATTATATTCACACACCAGTTTTTGTCACTTATACCACATTTTAATTTAATTAAGATCCTCAATCTTTGCTCATTATAACTCTTACATTCCTAACTCTTTGTTTAACATTTTCTTAATTAGCACATCGCATCTCTAATAATGGTTATTTTTCAAAAGCTCATTAGAAACACACTTATTTTTCTATCATATTTTTGGAAAAAAACAATAAATGCAAAATTGTGAAAGTATTTTTTTCCCCCTCAATTCATAGCATGCAAATATAATATAATACAATAAATCATCTTCAATGACTAAATGTGGGAATTAATTAAAGGTTGAATATATGAATTGACAAAGAAAAGTTAAAGAGACAAGTGTTGTAAATAGCCAAAAATTGAGGACATTAAGTATAATTAAAATGTGGTACAGCAAATAAAAATTGTAGTTGTCAATATAATTAGCTAAAAAATTATTTAATCTTTGTTTGGGCTCCATTTTAACGAGGATTTGTGAAAAATTTATTTTGAAATAGTAATTTTTTGCAAAATGTAGGGTAAAAATATTGATTACAGTGATATATATAACATGTTGAATCAATTTTCGGTTATGTTTTTTTTTAATATAAGTACTTATTTTTGAATTTTGATAAGTAGAAATTTTAAAATATCACTAACTAACAAAGAAAACGTCCGACAAAAACAAGAAAAAAAAATGCCAAAAAAAAAAGAGGAAACGACGCAATCCAACTGCAGCCTAACTCGGACAAAGTTTTACTACCCAATTTTAAACTTGTATTATTATTATTATTCTCATCTTCCAAAAGTTGACTTCCATAAAAATATTTTTGTAATTGCCACATAATCTATAATATATTAAATATCATATCAAGTGAGAATTTTTTTTGGACGATTATATCTCTACTATAATTTAATTATTTCAATAATACTCTAAGTTTTTAATTATGTATTCATTTAATTCATATAAATTAGAATTTCACACTCAAGAATGCAATTCATTATTCACGTCTAAGTATGTTAATTACATCGAGTTTCATTTAATTGAAAATTAAATTATAATATATATAATTTAATATTCATTGTCACGTATATATTTTTTTGTATTAATTCTAAATTAATTAACATTAATGTTATTTCATATATCGTATTTACCATTCATATTCATTTATGCATTTAGTTGTAATTTTAATAATCATATTCAAGTATGCATTTTACTATTTACGTTCATGTATAATAACAAATATTTATTTTCAGAAACTTGCATTTCTCTTATATTTAGAACAAAAGGATAAATGAAGAATCAAATATTACTTTCACAGCACTTATAAAGTATTTCAAAATAACGTGCAACACACGTTCAACTCTTACTAGTAATAATAAAAAAAAGTAGTGTATCGTAGGGCTAGGCCAAAATTAAAATACTTCATCGGCTCTCAGTTGATTTTATTTGATCACAAATCCATTGAATGTGATCATTAAAAATGAAAAATGAGGAGAGAGAGAGAGAGAGAATTTTAATTTTGCTCGTGATTTGCACACACATATATATTGATACATATTATAATTTAAATAATTTATAAACACTTTTCAAATATATATAAAACCTTTTTTTTTTTTGAGAAAAAGGTAAAATGAAAAATTTCTGCTAATACAGGATTTTTTGGGACTTTTAAAACATAAAGGGTGTCTTTGTAATTATCATAAACACAAAGGATGTTTCTGTAATTTTAATCAATGGACGATTCATTATTGAGAGAGAGACGATTAACCATGACATAACCGCTTACGTCAGTCATCCGGATAATTTCTTTTGTGTATAGTGGAGCTTCAACTCTCAGGAAGCGGTACCCTTTACTTCGAAGATCGAGAAGAAAATTAGCAATGGCTGAACAATTTGAGATGCCGCGAGTGAAACTCGGAACCCAAGGACTTGAGGTATATGTTACAACTGGTTAATACAGTTTCATATTCGATTCAATTTGTAGATCCCATTTGAATTTTTTTTCTTAACCAAATGAATCAATTCCATATACTGTCTGTATTTTTGTGAATAAGTACATCCATTTGATGGGTTATTGAACTTACAATGTTGTTCTTACCAAGCCACTCATTCCGATCCCCCGCTAACTAAGATGCGAGAGAGAGTTGAATAAAGAAGGGCAACGAATATACATGCAGAATTCTTGCACTAGTAATCCCTTGTAGACTGATATTGTTAGTGCATAATCCCACGCCACATAAAGCTCCTGCAAATTGATTGGCATATAATGCAATGATTCATTAGTTTTTCTTAATCTCATTGCTTCATTCAATTCACGTTTACCTCTTAGGTATCGAAGCTAGGCTATGGTTGTATGGGGCTTACAGGTATCTACAATAATCCCGTCCCTGAGGAGGAAGGAATTGCAATAATCAAAGAGGCATTCAGCAAAGGCATCACATTTTTTGACACATCGGATATTTATGGCGCGAACAATGCCAATGAGTACTTGGTTGGGAAGGTAGATACTTTTGCTTCTATTATCCATTTGCTTAAAAATTCTTAAAATTATTTAAATCATTATCAAATTTATGAATGTGGTGAAGTTTTCCATCAAAAGTCGGAATTATGATTGATAAAAGTTCAGCTATTCTATCATATATTATTTCAAAGTTTACAAAGGTAGACAATATTAAAAAGTTTGAATCCGTGAAGATTTTTCTTTCTGAAAATCATATAATTTGGTCTTTAGATGATTCTTGAATTTATGTTTAACTTAAGATTGTTATTGGATGATGGAAAATGCTATGGGTACATAAGTGTACCCATATGGACACCCGGTGCCCCCTATTGGGGGATGCTTGACGGCAACAGGCCCACCCCCCCACCATTGGTGTCCATTATGGACACCCCTATGGGTACACTTATGTACCCATAGCACAAACCTTAGATGATTATTGATTTGAAAACCACTAAATGTAACACGTGTGCATTTCGATGGTCACCTTTGACTGACCTTACTGAAAACATTCAAACATTGCAGGCACTAAAGCAACTACCTCGAGAACAAATTGAGTTAGCTACAAAGTTTGGTATAGCGGGAGGTGATGCTTCTGGAGTTATAATAAAAGGTTCACCTGAATATACTCGCTCTTGCTGTGAGTCTAGCCTGAAGCATCTCGGCGTGGACTATATTGATCTTTACTACATACATCGAATTGATCAAACTGTGCCTATTGAAGAGACGGCAAGCTTTATTTTTTGATTATATACTTTTCTTGGGTCTCATATTGCCATTTTCATTAGTGGCCATTAGCTTGATTTTCACTTGGTTTGTATTTGTTTTCTCTTTACATGCTTTCCATTTCAACACCAATGATACCTCTTGTTTTTGAGTTGTAGATGGGAGAACTTAAAAAACTAGTCAACGAAGGTAAAATAAAATATATTGGATTATCTGAAGCTAGTCCGGACACAATAAGGAGAGCTCATGCAGTTCATCCTATTACTGCTATACAAATGGAATATTCCCTTTGGACTCGTAACATCGAAGAAGAATTTATTCCACTTTGCAGGTTTCCCTTTTTAAAAATATTTCTATTATATTCCTGATTGTTCAAAATACATCTTTGGCAAATTGCAATGTAAGTGGAACTTAAAAGCAGATGTTTGAATTTTAAATTGATTTTTTTTTTACAACATAAAGAACTTGATGTCATTTTCTTTCTAGGACTAACATTGCAATGTTCTACTCCTATTTTCTAATACAGGAGTTCATTATTATTATTTTCTTCCTGATGTTAGCCTTGCATTTCTAATGGGTTAAACCACAGTCTCAGTTAGGGTTTTAAACATTGTCCTTCGAATGAGAACACTAGAATTATTTTCCTTCATTTCTATCAAAATTTGAATCCACAGTTTCTTCTTTCCACTAGTATGCTTTAGGTATGAGTATTTTATACCATATTGTCATCCTTTCTGTTCAAACATTGTGATCTCATATAGCGTTTCTATTTTCTTTTTGGAAATGTACAATAGGGAACTTGGGATTGGAATAGTTCCATACAGTCCCGTAGGTCGAGGGTTTTTTGCTGGGAAGGCTGTAGTGGAAAGCTTGCCTCAAAATAGCTCATTGGTGTGTATGCATCTATATATTTTACTTTCATTACGTAATATCTTCTTTTGTATGCAAAAGATGATTTAGTAGTTTCTTCATTTTAGTAATCTGTATTTGCTAAGTGGTTGCCTAAATTTCGTGCCATCAGGAACATCACCCAAGGTTTACAGGAGAGAACTTTGAAAGAAACAAAGCCATTTATATCCGTATAGAAAATTTAGCTAAGAAGCATGGATGCACTCCTGCTCAACTTGCGGTTGCATGGGTTCTTCATCAAGGAGATGATGTTGTACCTATTCCAGGTAAGCCCATTCATATTAGAATCTTGCTTCAAATATGATAAGACTTTGGCATAGTTAGTCTGTTATTTTGGAAGAGTGTGATTATTTATCTATGTTGTAAGAAATTTTACTCGAATTCTAGTAGCGATGGATAATAACTGAAATGTATATTATTATATTGATCTCATAAGTTGTTTTGATCTTAATGTTAATGTGTCATTTGATCTTGTAATATTTATAGGTACAACCAAAATAAAAAATCTTCACGAAAATATTGGTTCTGTGAAAGTGAAGTTTACAAAAGATGATTTGAAAGAGATCTCAGATGCAGTCCCCTTTGATGAAGTGGCAGGGCAAAAAACTACTGAGGTTCTTCATCGAATCTCAGCGATATATGCCAATACCCCACTCCCGAAATGAAACCAGCAAAATTGATAAATCTTTATATGTGACGTTTTAAAATAATAGGTTCTTCGAGTTCAAGTGATATTTTTAGTAATCTCATAAATTTCATGGTACTATTTTTCTCGATGCAGAAATGTAGTAATGTTTCTCTTGATTCACTATGTTTGTAATAAACTCTTGGGTTTTTTTTTTTTGTTTAAAGAATGGTTGGGAGACGATTCAGCTACCGTGGCACGATATATTTCACTTTATGTTTATTCATATATTTATACTCGAGGGCGTATGAGCTCTTTGATGTGAAATATGCTATGTAAAAATTTATCCATTGAGTGGAAGAATGCAATATTTTATCCATGGAGTGGGCGAATAGTAGTATGGTAGATAAGTTAAAATTTTCTAATTAGTCTATTATTATTCTCTCATTGGAGCGTTTCTTTGAATTTTCTTCAAACAAAATCATATCATATATGTCATAAATTGACATCAACAATCCTTAATAGGTATTTAATATTAATATCGCGCATAAAAATATTCCAACTTGAGACATATCAAAATGAGATTCGAACCTTGAAAAACAAATAATGTTACATCTCGGAGTCGATTATAGAGGAAATTGTGAAAAAAGAAGTCCAATTTCACATTTTCATTTGCAAAAATGTCCCATATTTGTTCCACTTCCATTTTGCTAAAATTTAGATCAAAACATCCTTACTAACAATTTCAAATTCCACAAGAAAGATAAAAAAATTCATATGAATTAAAAATTATGTTGACAAATAGAATATTGACACATAAGTACACAGACTATAAACTAGATATTTGAAAAGAATAATGATATAAAGCATCGATGATATTAAAACATCAGTTTAAGTGGCTACATTTTAAGTTGAATTAAATGAGTCGGATGATTTTACATTTAAATGAATATTTTACTTAATGTCATGTCATTGACACGTAGATTGGTGATGAATATGATTACTCATTTGAAAAGCACTAAAACGAAAAGCACTCTTTGTACTAACCCAATCCAAAATTGTCTGTATCTCAATCTCTCATGTTGTGCCATGCACCACCACGATAGTTGTCACCCACCGCCACGCCGATGTAATACATTACAGGGAACATCGAAGGTCAAAGAACGGACTTTTGAGTGTGTTAGAAGTCTTGAAGAAAATGTTGCAAAATTGAGGTAAGAATAACTTTTTTCTCCTGAATCTTCTTGAAAAAAGGGTTGCAATAGTGTAGGAATGATTCAGAACATAATAAAGAAGAATTTAGGGAGAGAGGGAGAACTTGGGAGTTGGGAGGAGGAATATCTCTCTAAACTTGACCCTAGTTCCCATCTTATCACGCTTTCCATTTCACTAACAAGATGATCGCTAGTACACGAAAGTAAAATAAGTTATATTGGATTGTCTGCAGCTAAGTGAGATACAATAAGGAGAGCTCATGTAATTCATCCTATTACTGCAATTCAAATGGATCATTCCCTTTGAATTCATGACATCGAAGAAGAAATAAATCCACTTTGTGCAGGTTTCAATATTTCTTTGGTAAATTGCTGTTTTAATTGGGAACTTGAGAGCTCATATTTGAATTTTAGATTAATTTTACAGTGCTGAGCTCCTATTTTCTATTGTAATACTACATGTTTTCTTATTTTTCTTCATGCAGTTAATTTTGCAATATCAAGGGGTTAAAACAACAGTCTCAGTTGGTGTGTTGAACATCGTGCTTTTAATAAGAATACAAGAAATCTTGATGTTCCATAAGAAGATTGCAAAAGAAGATTTGAAAGATTACTCATGCGATTCCCATCCATGAAGGAGCAGGATCGAGAAATCTTGATGTTCCATAAGATCACATGAGAAATTTTGAAGACCCCACTCCGAAAATGGATAATGATTACTGTATTATGTGGTTTTCCAATTTTCGGTGATTTGTATTGCAGTGGATTACTAGTAGATCACTGGAAGTGTATTTCTATTGAATGAATGAACCTCCTTTCAACATGATAATCAATTTTTTTACAATCCTCTCGTTATACTCACTTCACAAGTATAATAATGCAATAAAGTTGGCTTCAAAGATTTAAACCTTAGCTTTTTGCCCTTTTTAAGTTTATTTTTATAATAAAATATTTTGAATCATATTTTTGGTCATTTTATTTTTAAATTAGATATCAATTTTTGATTAAGATAAAATCACTTTGTATTAAAAGATAAATAAAATTTAAAATCTTTAATTTATTATTTTTTTTGTCTAAATTGAAATTAAGAATATATATATAAGTGAGAAAATTGGTATAATGAGAAACAATCCTGCTACATATACATCTTCTTTTATATTATTTTTGATATTTTGTAATGTGATAGGACATGATTTGATAGTTTTTTAAAACAAACATACACACTCTATAATAATTATGAAGATCAGAGAGGTTGGTTATGCCATTTGCACACTTATTTTTTACATTATCGTCGAAACGGGGTTGTGGTTGTAAAAAGAGTTGTGTTGTGTATACAGAACACAACATACAGAAGATATATAGAACACTCACAGCAGGGGGTGGTTTTTTTTTCAGTACTTTACTCACATGGGGGCGGTGTTCTGGCAATTTTACATAAGCTTGTTTTCTTTACTAGGGCTGGGCAAAATGTCCGAACCGAACCGAACCGGAACCGAATCGAACCGAACCGAACCGAGCGGGTTTTTTAAAATGAAATACCCGAACGGATATTAGAATCGAGAACCGAATGGTTTAGTTCGGTTCTCGGTTCACGACCAAGAACCGAAGAATCGAATAAGAA